CCAGGTCCGTGACTCAGAACAACACGACAGCGGAGCAGCGCACACCTGCCTGTGAGAAGGGGACAGCGAAACCTGTTCTACGGCAGACACGGACACACCGACAAACATCAGCAATTCCCACACAACAGGGGTATGTACAGAGGAGAGGGGCTGAGCTTCCCACCGGCACCGGCACCCGGCTCTGCCAGCGGGGATGGGGGTAAGGGAGAGGAAAAAGGACACACTCCAGAGTGAAATGGGAAACAACATCCCAGCTTCCTCCTGCAGGCCAGCTCAGCCAGAGGAGAAGGGACAGGGCTCTGGGGAGTAAAAGAATCACCAGCAGTGAGGTGACATGCCACCAGGAAGCCAAGAGGCTGCCCCTTCCCCTCACTCGATGGCCCACAGGTATCAAAGTGCACAGGCATCCTGCTAGGGGAGTGTCAGTGACCACCCAACACTGATGTCCCCACCCATCACAGAACACATCCTGCTAGGGGAGTGTCACTGACCACCCAACACTGATGTCCCCACCCATCACAGAATGCATCCTGCTAGGGGAGTGTCAGTGACCACCCAAGGCTGATGTCCCCACCCATCACAGAACACATCCTGCTAGGGGAGTGTCAGTGACCACCCAACACTGATGTCCCCACCCATCACAGAATGCATCCTGCTAGGGGAGTGTCAGTGACCACCCAACACTGATGTCCCCACCCGTCACAGAACGCTGTTGTCCCCACCTGACACATGGTCACTGTCAGCATGACACAGGCTGGGTGATGAAAAGAACAGCGAATGGCTTTGAGCCACCCGGCTGTTTTATCCTCCTCGCTGTCAATAAACCTACACGCTCCTGGTTAGGCCAGATGGATGAAAAACCCCCAGTGAAAGTCTCTGAAAAGCTCTAGTAACGTGATTAGAAACCCCGGGCAGGGGGAAGAGGATGTACTGCCCAACCTCCAAGGCTGAGAAATGACATGGAAATTCCCTTCAGCAGCACACAATCCTACATCCCTCTACCCAGGCTGGACAAGGAATCCCTGCCACTGCTCACCTCAGCTTTGGCAATGTTGCAGCTTAAAACTACCCCAAAAGTGAAATGGCTACTAGCCCCATCCCCCAGAACTCTACTACGAAGGCAGAAGCAGCTCAGTATCACATCATCATCAAGCAGCAACCTTGGTATGAGAGCAGAACAGCTACCACTGGCCTTCCATCTGCTGCAGCTCTCCTGCTCAGCCTGGAAAAACTTCCCAGTCTATGTGATGAGGAAGAGGAGAACAGAGATTGGGAAAGGAGCCTGCACAGCATCCATGACTCCCAGGGCAGGTAATGCCCCCGTAGTGAGAGATTCCAGGTAACCACCTGCTTTCACTGGTGACAAACAGGACCACTCTGAGGATCTCTCCCCACCCAGCCTCACGCTGCAAAGCCTCTGGATCCTCTTCCTCCCCCGTATCTAACAGCCACCACTCACCGAGCACCAATGTCCTTTGGAGGGGAAGAGATTCCGAGCGAGGAGAGCCAGTCTGTGGGATGTCCCTGCTACAGAAACAGGAGCAACAAGGCCAAAGCTATCAGAGTTTGGGGGTTTCCAGTGCTGTGTGGTGTCACGAGAGGGGCAAAACTCAGAAGTCGTGTGCAAGAGTTAGCCAAGATCATCCACAGAAAGGAGAAACCGAGGAGCTGATATTGTGTGTGCCCTGCAGGAAGCAAAAGCCTAGAAACAAGAGAACCTGTATTGTCCAAAAAGGCAAGGCCAAGTCAAACTGACTGGTTTAAAAGGAGCAGCCTTCTGAGAGAGGAAGTGGGGATGCTGGACAAAGACAGGGCTGGAGTGGAGAGGGAACTAAGTTAAGATGCAAGGCAGTAAGGAAGGTGGAAAGCCCACCCCCCGAGCTTTATTTTTGCCTTCCCTAACTTGGTGGCTTTTCCATTGCATTCACAAGATACATCTGAGCAGAGAGGCTCAAGGTGGGAGGAGAAGGAGAGGAAGAGAGAGAGTGTAAAGGGCACCACGGTGCCAAAGTGCAACAACATAAAAAAATAAACTAAAAAGACAGGACACTCATTCTGCACTCAGGGCTCATACCATGCAGTAAGAGGGGCGGCCGGGGCTGCTCCCCACCAGTAAACAGGGAGTTCGCTCGCTTTAGTAAACTGGTTTTTCAGCCCACAAAGTAGGGTTGCCTAGCCAATGAGCAGTGATGTTCTTCAGTGAGACTGGCCGGTCGGGGAATGTGCTGCTACAGAACGGGGCCTGTTAGCAGGAGCACCCGCTCTCCGTTACTGGCTGCTCAGGAGGTTTCTCTAGTTTGATGTCAATCACTGCAGGAGAGGAGTTAAGGAAATCATCCAGCTCCAAGGAAAAACCAAAACACAGAGAAAGGGATCAGGATCTGAACTGGTTGTTAGCAGTCCCTGCATAAGGGATTTTAGCAGAACAGAACATATCCTGAACAGGATTAACTGCCAAACCAATGCACTGGGGGTGTCAAAACCATTGAAGAGGACAGAACTCAATCAGACAGCTCTGGGTACAAGACAGCCTTGTGCAAAAAGAGGAAAGTTGTACAGTATTTTAAAACTATGCAAATTTTAACCTAAGCTTGAGTGGAGAAAGCAAAACTTGTGCTTGCTGTTGTAAGTAGCTGGGTACATTTATATACAGACCACACACAGGGTCCTCAATTTACACCCAAAGACAAGCACCACGCAACGCTGGCTGTTTCTGACTGCAAAACCCCAGCAAGGCCCATCCCCACAACCTGCCTACAAGTCAGTAAGCTCCACCTAACAAAAGATAATTGCCAAATTCTACGAGAACAGGAAAAGTTACTGATGAGAAAAGCAAGGATACTGTCTTCTTTGCTCTTCTCTGGTGTGCTGTCCATCCCAGGTAAGGCAGCAGCCACACGACGGAAAAGCTGAAAAGGAGCAAGAGGAAAGGTGAAAGCTTGTCAGAAAAAAAAAATACATGTTAAAAAACATTGGTTTACAGTCCAAATTGTACAAACTGGTTATGTGGGTGCTTTAGCAAGCAAAGCAAAGATCCACAAATGCCCAGAGAGTTTTATCTAAGAAATTGAACAGGTTTTATTAAAGAAGTTACTCAGTGCCTACAAAACTCTTCTATTTTACCTGTTTCTACTGGACCAGAACACAGAATTAATTAGTAACAGTTCTTCCAGGGACAGATAGAACAATTCCCTCCTGCTCTCTGTAAGCATGTCACCTACCATTTCCAGCCTCAACTGCTTTTGCACCCAGCAAAGTCACAGTGCATGACTCAAGACTTCTGAGAAGCAACCTTGCAAGAGACAGAAGGTTTCAGAGGTTTATGGAATAACTGAGGTTTTACAGCCCATCCTTTCCATTCAATCCTGCTGCAAGAGCCATTTCCCAGCAGAACAGCTGGCTCCAGTGAGCTGTGTTGAAGCTATGAAGGATGTGCTAGAACTGAGAAGGACTCTCACATCCCCATAAAAATAAAAAAACCCCAGAAAATGGTTTTGCATCATTTTCCAAGCCAACGCTCAGAGCTCCTCCTGCCGACGTTAGCGCAGCAGCTAACACAGCACAGACACTGCCCGGCGTCTGGTGAGAAGTGCTGCATCAAGAACCAGAGGAATCAACTCCTAATGATGGTTTTTCTCCCAGTAGCTTGGCAGGGGCTTCTCATCCACACCACCACCACCACACTGCAGACACCTGGACCTCACAGCTGCCTTACTCCCCAAGTTCTGTCACGCTTCAGAGCAATTCCTGAACTAATGGAGAGTGGGATCAGAAGCTCAGAGCAAGAGGCAACGAGCACAAACTGAAAGACAAGAAGTTCTGTTTAAAGATTAGAAAAAAAATTCAAATGTTTTGGTTTGGGTTTTTTTGTTTTTTTTGTTTTGTTTTTGTTTTTTTACTGTACAGATAGTCAAACACTGTGACAGGTTGCCTGAAGAGATGGAGTCTCTATCCTTTGAGATAATCAAAACCCAACTAGTCAGTTCTGGGCAGGCTGCTCTGAGCACGTGGGTTGAACTAGATGATCTCCAGAGATCCCTTCCAACCTCAACTATTCCAAGATTTTCCTCTGCAGCTTGCAAACAGGAGCAGGAACTTCTACTCTAGTGCATCAGCATCTGCAATGATACTGACTGATGTCAAGGCTGATTTTAGAAAACAATGCATTAACTGTTAACAAAAGCAAGGGGAATGTACAAAACCATGTTTGGCTGCACAGAACAGTGGTGTTCCCATCCCTCAGCACTTGCTGGTTTTAGATCCTCCTTTCTTTCAAGGTAAGTTTCCTCAGCTTTAACTGGGAATCATTGACCAGACAGGAAAGGAGCTTCCAATAGATACAGCAGCAACGATCATCGGGCAAGAAGCATTTCAGGGGGTGATATTAAATAATACAAGCCAATATCTGATGGAATGTGAACCCCAAGCAGAAGCATAAACACCCAGAGCAGTAAAATACAGATTTCCTGTCTTTAGAACAGAACATCCATCTACCTGTTTCACATTGTATCCAGTCTTTGCACTGGTCTCAATAAACATCACATTCAGCTCTTTGGCTCTCTGTTCACCTTCTTCTGTAGTGATTTGCCTGGACAAAGATGCAAACAAAAGCAGAAAGACAGAAAGGAAGAACAGACAGGGAGAGTTAGAGATGCCTGTGACCGAGATGCTCTTCAATGGAGAGCTGCTTCACCAACCCTTCCAGGAGTGCATAGTCCACCTATGGAGACCTCAGGACCTCTCAAGTCTTTTAAGACCCTCAGGTCCTCCAACTAAGAATGAAACAACCTCAGAGAAGTTACCCAGGGAACACCTGGATTTATGACTATTAATAAGGGATGATCAGCAACAGGGTGAAATTTGCACAGCACATTTGAACCTCATTCCTCCAGGGAAGGAAGAATCCCCATCCGCTGCACCCGATACCAAAAGCAGCTTCCCAAAAATCAACAGAAGGGAATGCTGTGAGGTTCCAGTAAGATTTCAGAAAGGCTCCAGCAGTGAGTACGGGGCAACAGCAAGTGCCAGGCTGCTGCTGGTGAGCAAGCACCTGCAAATGCATCTCTGATCCATACCCTGTACATACCTGTTTGACATTATATCCTGCTTTAGCAGTGGTTTCAATATACATCGTACTCAATTCTCGGGCTTTTCTCTCACCCTCCTCTATAGAAACCTGTCTACAGCAATGAGAACAAATGACAAGAAAAGAAAAACCAAACCAAAGAAAAATAGTCCAAAAATGATAAAAATATAACTGCAGGGAAAAAAAAAAAACAACAACAAACCAGCCACCAACTGCAGCAACATGAACAGGAAAAGAAAAACAGTCCAAAAATGATAAAAATAAAACTGCAGGGGAAAAAAAAAACAACAACAAACCAGCCACCAACTGCAGCAACATGAACAGGAAAGAAAAACTCAACAGGCTGCACCGAATAAGAACAGTGTTATTTTTAGTTCAGCTTTTTGGCTTCAGAACTTAACTTGCATCATCACTTGGTTTCTACCATAGGATGAATGGCTTCCAACACACTGAATTCTATTTTGAAAAATGTAACCAAGCTCAGACTGATACTGTGGCTTTGACCAGCCTTAAAAGTACTTCAGGATTTCAGCCTAACACAAATCTCACTTCCTTTTAAAAGAAAGACAAGGCAGCTTCTTTTATTGATAGCTGGATATGCACTGTAATTCCAAATTCTATCCTCGACCAGGACTACTGTCCCTTCAGCATTAAACTTCTAAAATCAGAATTTCTAGTGCTACATGAACTTCAACTGTAGCTACATTTCAAAAAATTTGCTGGTATTTTTAATGCTTATGGCAGTGCTGGGCCAGCTGTCCTGCACACACACATTCTACTTCACTAATGTACTAGCAGGAAATAATCCACAGCAGAAATTATCCCATTGGGTTTTCCAGTTCCACATGAAATTGGATTTTGATAGAAATTAGGAAGCCTCAAATCTAAATGCCAGGTTATTTAGTTTGGGAACTGCAGTTATTTCTAGCTCTCAGGAGTGTGTAAGAGATACTAAGTGGTCAACATCCAGAGCTGGTTCAAGTAGAACATCTTGGATTTTGCTCAGTTGCTTTTGTAAGGTGATTTCAGAGACCAGACTGATCTGAGGTCTTGCCACCTGCAATTCTTAATCTAAATCACCTATAGACATTTTTGATCATATTTCTGAAACTCTGAGTGCTAAGTTTTACCAACATTTCCCAAGTGCAAGGCACAGGTAACTTAGAATGACCTCTCAGTGGACGTGGGAAGAGCCAAATAGTTGTCAAGACTCGGGGTGGTCTGTGTGGAGGACACAGAACACATTTTCTCCCCAGCACCACCAGTACAAAGCCCAGTTAGAGCCTGACTTTATCCTTTTCCCCACTGACTCAAACCACTTGCTGGTATTAGAATTGTCTATTATGCTTTCCCTGCTAGGCATGACAAACTAAAAACTAATAGCACGACCTGTACAGGGAGAAAAGGGCACAAAGCATCTCCTGACAGCAGTTTGTGCAGCCAAGGATGCTGGCTGTTGTCTCACACAAGCATCTGGACAACATCAAAACCACATCACAATACATGCTGAAGCCACGTGTACGCTGCAGGAGTGAGTAGAGAGAGGGTTAGGATTTAAAATGCGATAGCATCCAACAATGAAACAGTCAGATCCCTCTTAGGCTCATCATCCTGAGAAGCAGAGTAAACAAACAGGCAGTTCAGATAACAGTGCAAGATTTTTCTGAGAAAACATGAATGTTCCACCCGTGAGGCTTCTCCAGCTGTTATCTTTTGATCAGAAGTGTCTTGTGAACAGCCAAAGGATAAGGGTTTGATTTTATCAGACCCTATTTTGCTTTGAGATCCAGGTGTTCCCCAGTTTGGCTTTTTTGAGATGCCTTTTTTTACATTAAATAAGAATTCCCCATCACTTCAATGCCTCACATGTCCTATGACACATGCAGCACGCATTTTAGAGCCCCTGGTGTACGTGAAAATGTTGCAGTATTAGGATTGTAAAGCACTATCCATCTTCCCTTTGCCAACTACTACTGACACTAACCATTCAAATAAAAACCTCTCCTTACCTACACTGTTTCTGATGTCTTCATAAAGAATTAAAAACTTGGAAAACATTAAACATCATTTTTGCTAAATCAACAATCAAGAGAAGCATCTGAAATGGAAATGCAAAAGCACAACCCTGTGGTCTTCCAAGAAGCTTTTACACAGGTTATATTGGTCAAAGAGGTGTCGTAGGATTAAGAGTTTTAAAAGCAAAATGCTTTATAACACGTCCCAAAACATTAAATCCACGTGATTTTAATGGTCTAATTAAGTTTTAAGGTCTCTTGGGGAAGTGTGCTTTTGCTAATCTAGTTTCCTCTCCACACAGTTTGTGTTATGTATGACATTAAATTTATGCTCAGAGGGAAACCTCTTAGATTGATACTGTAAAAGCTCACGCTGCACCTTGTAACAAGAAGAAACTTTACCATGAACTTAAAGTTGCACATGCAGAAACAGTTCTGTAAATAGGATTATTAAAAAAAATGCAGGCTTCCTTGTTTTTGTGAGACATCTTTCTGGCTTTATATCAGCAAAAAAAATCAGACAAAATACACTATTGAGAAACATGCTGTAGAGATACTTAATTTAAGTAAAGTGAATTTTTTTAGGTGGGTTTGTTTTAACCAGAACTATTTGTAGAATAGCAAAAGGGAATAATTTTGCATATGCTGAATTTCATGACAAGCTATTTATGCTTCATTTAAAATCAACAATTGTTTTGAAGACAGACTAATCAGCCAGTTCTTTCCTTTTACTAGTCAGGGCAGCAAGGCTGCCAGCTCCCCTCCGTTACCTCTTGTCTGCCAGGTCAGTTTTGTTCCCCACCAACATGATGATGACATCGCTTCCTCTCTCTGTCCGAACGTCATCAATCCACTTGGAGGTTTGCTGGAAAGAATTCAAGTCTGTAGGGAAGAAGCAAAAGGGAGTGCTGAGGATAAAACTTTTCAGAGAGGAAGAATGCTATGCCTGTGCTCAGGTGCTTCTCCACATCTCCCCACACCAGATATAAATAACCCATAAATTGTTTTCCACTCAGACGGAAAAACAGGGCGGGGGAAAAATAATTTCTAACATTAATCATATTTTTTTTTTGCAGAACTTCTGGTTGTAAAGTATTAGTTCTGCTTCAGTGTAGTATTTCAAAGAATGAGACACCAAAGTATCACTCACTTGTAATGTCATAGACTACCACAGCAATAGTGGAGTCGCGGATGTAGCTGGGAATGAGACTGCGGAACCGCTCCTGGCCTGCTGTGTCCCAAAGCTGCAGCCGAACCTGCTGGTACCAGGCCAGGGAGAGCAGAAGGAGAGAGAGAGAAAGAGCAAGGGAGAAAAGAAAGGAGGAAACTGTCCTTTAGAGAAAAAGCCATTTCTAGAATCAACTGTATGTAGCTTAGTCTGAGAAGCTGAGGTTGACCTTGTAATCATGCCCCAAATAACCAACCACCACAGAAGCTGTTCTGACTCTGGAGATAATGGGCTTTAATTAATGCTCCTTTGCTTGCCTAGAGATTGTGCTGTTCCCAGAGAGCTCTGGGTTACAGCTCCTACCTCACTGCTGACAACCAGTGACAAAGAGCTGGTCTTCCTGCTCTACCCAGGATTATGTACGGGGTCTCCACAGCACTCCTAGCCTAGAGCATCCCAGATCAAAGCTTTCTGGGCAATTCCCACATGACAGACATGCAATTCCCTCAGCCCAGACACCACGTAGTAAAACAGCATCCATTCTCCAGCATCAAGCATCCAGAAGATGGCAATGAGGATTTTCATGCAAGATTAGGGCAATCAATAACTTCAGTTCCAGCAGAAACAAAAGCAAATGTTACCCACTGTCAGCTTCACGTGACTCAAAGGGCATCGGGTTCTCCCTTTCAGATAAGCACGAGAGTCAGAAACAAGCACAAATGCTCTGAGAGGGACAGTCTGATCTCCAGAACTATGCCCAAACACAAACTGACCTATTACACACGATAGCTCCAAGGTCTGGGACCTGCCTGTTTGAAACAGCAATGGTCAAAACACACCCAATTACCACAGTGAAGGCTGAACAAAAGCTTTTCACAACTGGGAGTGATATTGTTTCCTTCCAAGTCATTACCCCACGCAGCTCGCTGTACCCGCAGTGCTACACGGCCAGAAAACAAGATTGCTATTGGCATTCTCAACAGGCACGAGTTTCATAGGAGGGCAGATACTGGTTAATTACCTAAACTGGTTAGATGTGCTCACAAAGTGTTTATGGCCAGAACAGCGGTTAATAAGGCAGCTTGCAGGAGACTGGCTACAGGAGAAAGCAGTTTCAGAAGGACCAGTCATTGGCTTGTTTAGAAGAGAAACAAGCTGGACAGAGCACATGTCTGCAAAGCATCTTGCAGATTCAAAACAACACGGTATCTACATCAGGGTATGTAGATCTGATGCCCTGGGGCTTAAGGAAGATTAGGGCTTACAGCTAAAGCAATTAGCTGATGCTTCATTTCAAAAGTAGCCTTGATTACAGTAGCAAAAATCAGGGCTCTTCATTACCCCAGAAAACTCAGGGTGACCAACTCCAAGGACCTGGACAATATGACACCAGTGCTGGAAGATCAGATTGATAATGACAGCTTCTGGCTTTTGCTTCTGGATTTCACAACAAGCTTCCACACAGTCCCCAAGACACTGCTGCTACACCAGACCATGGACCAAGAAACTTTACCAAGGTGGTGATGTAAACACTCCAACCTTCAGACTCACAGTCAAAAAGGTAACTAGAGGAAGAACTGGGGAAGAACCAGCCCAGTAATCTTCTTGCAGGGAAGGGTAACACTACGTGAGGGAAGGCCTGCAGCTGAGAAAGTCATTCTGCAGTATTTCTGTGGCTTCTCATTTCTACGAGTCAAATTTTGTGTGCACCCATTTTTGGAGTGGGAAGAGAAAACATAAATAACCCACTCAAACATGACAGGGTGCTCATGGCCCTACTGGTCTGGAAAGATGAAAGGTCCTCAAGCAAGAATGAAGCCAGTCTCTTAGAAACAGGGTAACTTGTTTCAGAAATGGGCAGTATGGGTGTTCATCACAGATCTCCTCCCAGGCCACTTGCATTTCAAGGTGCCCAGCAGATTAATGATAATAAAGCAATTTCTCTTTTTCTTCTCAGGTCCCCACATGCTAGCTAACAGTTTTTCTCTACTAGTTAAGAGTATCTTGACTAGTCCTTAAGTAGGTCCTATGGGACAGTCCCTATTTTACACTACCATGACCAGTATTAACTTACAAGACACTAATTGAGTTCCCAAATACAGTCACCACTAAAGACAAAGCAAATATATAGCTCCTCAGAGTGGTAAAAGAAACAGTGTTTTCCTAATTGCACTAGTGCTCACCATTATCATGCTCTCAGAAGGACGTGAGCGTGTTCCTTCAATAACACAGGAAAACTAAAAGCCTCTCAGTCACTAAGAACAAAGAGCAGTAACAAGAAAAAAATGGAATTATCTGAAAAGATCAGACCATTATCAAAGTATGATGTCATCAGCTATTGCTTAATTATTTTTGACATGTTTGGAAACTGTTAAGAACCTTGGCTAGACTGGCAAGATGTTTCCACCTGCCTGAATAAACAGCATCCTGTAACTGTCACACCAGCAGGGAGAAAAGATGCCAGCCTGCCACGCTGCCTCACCCAGATGAGTTCCCAGTGTAAATCATCATGTGCCCATCTCAGCACTCCTCAAACACCAAACACATCCATTTTACACTAGTTTGCACCAAACAAGAAACCCTCCCAGAGTCAACTATTTAAGCTATAGGACAGGGAGAAAGGCCATGTAATTATTTGCCCTCAATTTGTAAGATAAATCATCAAATAAGTTTGTTATTATCTGTTAAGCAGTTCTGTTAACCAAAGCGAAACAAACCTCTGGTCTGTTTACAGAGACTGTAATCTAGATTTAGTGACAGAATAAAGGTGCCAGAGATTTTTCATCTGCACTAGATTCTTTACTCAAACTTCATCAATGGCTCACTGGTATAAATCCTGTCTAGATATTTATGCTGATACTGTGGCTTAAGTGAAAAAGTCAGAATCAATAACAAGGAATTATAATTAAGTGATTCTATTCATATCTTGTACTAAAACATTCATGCCAAGAGTTATGGAGAGTTTCCCTCTAAGCTTGTTTATTCTTTAGAATATGATTATGGAGCTACATCTCTTCTCTTTCAAAATGCCTCTGGTTACTCATATGAATCACCAGCTCTCCTCTTCAATGACATGGGAGTACTGAATCCTCCTAAGTCACTACACAGCTTTAATTTCAATGAGTGTTGCACTGTTTTACCCACTCTGACAGTATTCCACTGCTTCAACATCTGAAACTGTTACTTGTATTACCTCTCCAGTTACCCAGAATGGAAAAAAAAATTTAAAAATTCTGAGATTTAAAAAAAAAAAAACAAACCAGAAAAAGTAAAACAGCTTTCCAAAGGCTACCAATCATTTCTCATTCCAGCCAGCACAGACACACAAGAAGTCACAATCCCTACTCACCTACCTGCCAGTCCTCTGTGTATCACTTCCATCGTTTGAACTTTGAGCAGAACAGAGTTTTCCAGTTCTTCAGTTTCTGTGTTATGGGATGGAGTTACCACTGGTTGTGGGGGAAGATGATCAGCTACCTCCCCTCTGCACCTACAGTCCTGGGGTCAACAACCTATCTTAGCCCTTTTCAGATAACACCACCACTTCCAATGCACAAAAGGTACATGTTAAAAGCAAGGTCCCTGCAGACACTCAGGCTCAATACCTACTTGTGATGTCAAAGACAATGACAGCCACAGCAGAGTCACGGATGTAGCTGGGAATGAGGCTGCGGAACCTCTCCTGGCCGGCTGTATCCCACAGCTGCAGCCTGATCTGGGAAATGGAAAAGTGTAGGGGAAGAAGGAAAAGGGGAAAAGCAGGAAAAATGGAAAACAAAACCAAAACTCAAGTGAAATAAAAATAAAAAATAAAAAAATAAATAAATATTGCAAGGCAAAAAAATAATGCAACAAAAGGAAAGTTCAAATGGAACAGAAACATGAAAAGAGCCAACGGCACTTTCTGAGCACACTCTGGCAGCACCCTCAGCCTGGCACGTCTGAGAAGCCTCCCTCCCTCCACAGACCCACTCATAACTCACACACAGGAACACATTCTTCCATCATAAAAGCAAGATATCCCTGAAAAATATATTTTCTCACACCATCTACTAAGGAGGGCAATAAGCATACGTACCTCAGTGCATCCTGCCGTGTCAGGACTCTGGCTGTAACGGTCACACAACCAGACTGCAGCCTACAGCTAGCTAGATGTGCTCACCCCTCATCGTAAGGACTACAGCACGCAGCTGCTGGTTAACCCACCAGAAAACCTGATGTGGTGAAAAACAGTAGTGGGGTACACTCCAGAACAGCAAAAAACCTCTGGACTCGTAAGGCCCCACCTGAAGTACTGCGTCCAGTTCTGGAGCCCCCGTCACAAGAGAGACCTGGAGCAGCTGGAACAAGTCCAGAGGAGGCCACCAGGATGATGCGAGGGCTGGAGCAGCTCTGCTGTGAGGACAGGCTGAGAGAGTTGGGGCTGTTCCGCCTGGAGAAGAGAAGGCTCCGGGGAGATCTTACAGTGGCCTCCCAGTACCTGAAGGGGCTCCAGGAAGGCTGGGGAGGGACTTTTCATAAGGGCAGTTAATGACAGAACAAGGGGAAATGGGTTTAAGCTGAAAGAGGGGAGGTTTAGATGAGATATTAGGAAGAAGTTCTTCACTGTGAGGGTGGTCAGACCGTGTCCCAGGTTGCCCAGAGAAGCTGTGGCTGCTCCTCCCTGGAAGTGTTCTCGGCCAGGCTGGATGAGGCTTTGAGCAACCTGGTCTAGTGGAAGGTGTCCCTGCTGATGGCAGGGGGGTTGGGACTGGATGAGCTTTAAGGTCCCTTCCAACCCAAACCAGTCTGGGATTCTATGACTGGCTTATTTTGTGCTTAAATCCAACAAGTTGGGAAAGATATCAGGACACAGAAAAGGCAATACTACTTGGTCTTCAAAGAAAGAGGTTGTAGCTGTGACATGGAACTGTTAGACTGACAGTTGGGAGTGAGGATGGGGCTTCTCGTGGCCCCAGTTCCCCCCCACACACTGGCAATGTGCTGGAAATGGCACTTAGAGCTGCCCTCGGTGGGAGGCTGCTGGAGATGATTTTGAAGAACCCAACTCCATGTATATTTGTCCCTTCTGCTGGCTAGTACCTGCTACCCAGGCCATGTTCAGAGCTGAGTGATCTGGCACAGGTATAATTTCAGGATGTATTATGTGGTGTAAGGACATACCAAATATGCTGCAGTTAGAGCACTCTTTGTTTAAAGCACAGCAGTCAAAGCCTGTTGCAACATACATCAGCCATCCCCAAGGAATATGGATAGGAATTGCCCAAGGAAGTTGTGGCTGCTCCTCCCTGGAAGTGTTGAAGGCCAGGCTGGATGAGGCTTTGAGCAACCTGGTCTAGTGGAAGGTGTCCCTGCTGATGGCAGGGGGGTTGGGACTGGATGAGCTTTAAGGTCCCTTCCAACCCAAACCAGTCTGGGATTCTGTGATTCTATGATTATTTAAATGTCTGAATTTTCCTCGCTTGTATTCCTTCCTCCTCTTATCTACATTCAACACCTCTCTGTTATTTCAACAGCTTTTAGGGGCTCTGTGGACCACTTACACAATCGAGAAAACTAACAGTATATCAAACTTTGGAAGGAAAATGGTGTTTTCTGGATAGCAGGTGAGTGACATCCTGACCTACACAAGCACAAGAAATCACTGCTGCAAACAGCACACAGGCATTCCAACTTGCCTCCATAGGTGTCAAGCAGCATTCTCAACATCTTGTTCTTCTTCTGCCACTGCCAGCACCACTGAAGAATGTTATCCAAGTAGCTTTCCCCCAAAAAATTGATTAACCAAGGTCTTTTCTAATAGTAAATCACTGGTAAGATGGCAGAGGAACACTCAGGAAACTCACCACACACACTGGGCTGGGACTTCTTCAGAAGCAACAAACCCAAGGCAACACAAATTATTTTCATCACACCACTGGCCCCTTCCTCCTCCCCCCCCCAACACTTTCATACTTCTCAGCCAGTAGTAACACTAGCAAAAAAATGAACTACTGAAAAGACAAATACTGAAAGACAGGAGAGGGATGAGAGGGATCTCTTTATGCAAAAAGGAATCTCATGCAAGCTAAATGCAAAATTGCTTTATTAACAGTACATCAGAACTGTGTGGTGAAAGGAGCCTTGTTACGAGGAGGAACTGTGCCACCACTGGTCATCTTGAATGACTTCAAGACTTGGAACTACGTGGGGTCTGCTCAGACCCATTTATACTGACAATCCCAAATTCTGGGAGCAAACTATGCCTAAGGTACATATAGCAGACAGCCCAGTGCTTGGAATATGGACATTAGCTTGCCCCAATTTTGCATGAAAGATTTTTGACCTCCATTCTAGAGGTATCAGATATGAACAAGTTATCAGGAACAGGAGAGGGGGGTCAGTGATTTGATTCCACAAAGAGCACCATCCCTCTGAAGGCTGCTGTGGGATTTCAGAGCCGTTGGAGGAATGGCCAGGCGGAACAGCACGCACAGCAAGAGCTGCTCCCCTGACTGCAGTTGCCATGCGATCACCCAGACGCCTCACTTACCGTGCGATCTTCAAGATACATTGTTTTTGACAGGAAATCAATTCCAATGGTTGCCTGAAAAGAAGAACAGCATTAGTAACTGCAGCTTGCCTTCCAGCATCTGCAGATCACATCTTTCTGTACAAACTCTCAGAAATATTCACAAACTTCTAATCGAGCTGTTGAAGTCGTCTGCCTTCGATGGAGTTAATAAAAACAAAGGAATCTGGATATCTATCTACACCATCTTCATTTCACATCATTCTTCCAGCACGTCTCACCAGAACCTCCGAGTATGGATTTTAGCCTCAGACATTCATGCATCTGAACACATCATATCTGAACTGTCATCTCCTTCTGGTCTACAGTCTGGAAAGAATTATCTTCTTAGAACTAACCAAAAGGTGGAGGAAATTACTTATAAAAATTGCAGGCAACTGTGCTGAAAGCTAAAAAGCAATGTTTATTTGGGTCTTTCCATTTCAGAACGTGCTTCCTCTCCAGTGACATTCAGAAGCTTCATTTCCCAGGCAGCTCTTTCTATAAGTCTCCTTCCATTTGTGTCTGTGCTGCTGCACAGCAAGTTCAGTACAAAGACATTTAAAGTAAGAAGTCAGATGTGCTCACAGGCACCTAAATCAAGATGTCCCAGCCCCTTACAACCCTGGGAAACAGGAGACAGGCTACTGATGTATTTTAGACAGATTATCTCCAGTCCTAACAAACAGACGTGTTCTGGAAGGTCTCCATCAGAACCTGAACTATTTAACATTAGAAGAGACCACAACAGTCAGTTTCTGTAGGAAATGTTTATTTCTGGCAGTCCTATTCTCTGCAGCCAGGACACAGTTTATAACAACTACAATAAGCAGAGAAATCCAGGAGAGCACCTTACAAAAGAAACACAGAAAACACAAGAGGATCCAGTCCCAGTGAATGACTTGTCCTCAAAAAAAAAAAAAACCAAACCCATCTTGTTTTCATTTTCCAGCTTAAAATTATCCCAGTTTAAACCAGTAACTCCTTCTGGCCTGAATTAAATGAGAACACCGTAGTCTCATCTTCCTTAAAGATATTTGGTATCCCCTTGAAATACCACTGAGTGCTTTCCATGCAACTCTTCCTGAAATCTTCAGGCCTCTTACACATCTTCAGCTTTTCATCTGCAGCCCCTTCATCCCTACCCTACTCTTT